GCTGAATCATTCAGAAATAAACTAAACAGAAATATTAGCACTAAATAATATTATAAATCAAATGGACCTAATAAACATCTCTAGGCTATTCCACCCAAATACTAAGGAATACATATTATTCTCAGCATCCCATATAACTTCCTCTAAAATTAATCACATACTAGAACACAAAGCAAATCTCAACAAATATAGAAAAATTTAAATAACATCCTGTATTCTATCTGACCACAATATAATATAGCTACATATTAACAACAATAGAAACTACAGAAAATACACAAACCCATGGAGGCTAAACAATAAAATACTGAATAATAATTTGGCCAAGGAAGAAATAAAGATAGAAGTTTAAAGAGTCTTAGAATTGAATGAAAATAGAAACACAACATATCCAAATCTATGGGACATAATGAAGGAAGTCTTAAAAAGAAAATGTATAGCACTAAGTGCCTATATATAAAAATAATGGCAAAGAATCAATGAAATGAAAAGCTGATTCTTTGAAAAGATAGACAAATTAACCAAAATAGAGAGAAGGCACAAATTAATAAAATTAGAAATGAAAAGGTAGACATTACAACAAATACCAATAAAATTCAGAAAATCAAAAGAAACATGTTAAAAATCTCTATTTCACTAAGTTGAAAAATCTAAAAAGAAGATGAATTTATATGTACACAAAACATATTTAAATTAAACTAAGATGAAATACATAATTTAAACAGAGCAGCAATAATATTGAAGCACTAATAAAAAGTCTCCCAACTTAAGAAAACCAAACCAAACCAACAAAAAAACACAGATAGACTCACTGCAGAATTCTATCAGAACTTCAAAGAAAATTAACACTAATACTACTTAAATTATTCCATAAAATAGAAAAGGTAGGAAGGCTTCCAAACTTTTTACGAGGCCAGTATTAATTTATCTGATACAAAAACCAGATAAAGAAACAACAAAACAAAATTACAGACTAATCTCCTTGATGACATAGATGAAAATTTCTCAATAAAATACTTGCAATACAAGTTCAAGAATTTATCAAAAAGACCATTTGTCACAACCAAGTTAGTTTCATTCTAGAGATGCAGGGACAGTTCAACACGTAAATCCATAAATATTATCTATCACATTAATAGACTCAAAGACAGGTATAACATGATCATCTCATTAGATGCCAAAAGGCCTTTGATTGACTCCAACATCCCTTCATGATAAAAGTCCTGGAGAAACTAGGTATACAGGGAGCCTAGCTCCACATAATAAAGTCTATGTACAATAAACCTATAACCAACAACATGCTAAATGGAGAAGCTCAAAGCATTCCCACTAAGATAAGGAACAAGACAAGGACCACCACTCTCTCCATTTCTGTTTGATATAGTGCTGAAGTCTTAGCTAGAGCAGCAGGGCACGAGAAGGAAATGAAAGGGCTAATATTGGAAGTCAAAACATTCCTAGGTTTTGAAGATGATATGATATAATATAATGATAGAATTCTAAACATAAGTGACCCTAAAGACTCTACCAAAAACCTTTTAGAGCTGATAAATACTTTCAGCAAAGTGGCAGGATACAAAATTAACACACAAAAATCAGTAGCCTTCTTATATACCAATGACATACATACTGAAAAAGAAATTAACGAAACAATCCCATTCACAATAACTACAAAAAATAAACTTCCTGGGAGTAAAGCTACCAAAGAAAGAAAGAAAAGCTTCTACGTGAAACTTTAAGACAATGAAGAACCTGAAGAATACCAGAAGATGGAAAGCTCTACCATGCTCTTAGACTGGCAGGATTAATGCTGTCAAAATCATCATCCTACCAAAAGCAATCCCAATGCAATCCCAATTTAAAAAAAAACAAAACAAAACAAAACAGGAGCTTTCATCACAAACATAGAAAAAAAATTAAAAATTATATGGAGGTACAATCAAGGATAGCCAAAGCAATCCTTCACCATTCCAGATTTCAAATTATGCTACAGAGCTAGATAGTAAAAAACAAACAAACAAAAAAACAACAAAAAAACAACAACAAAAACATGGTGCTGGTACAGAAACAGATACATAGATCAATAGACTAGCAGAGAAGACTCAAATATAGCTCCATGTAACCACAGTAATCTGATCTTTGACAAAGATGCCAAAAATATACATTGGAGAAAAGTCAGCATCTTCAACAAATGGTACTGTGTAATCTGGACTTCAACATGTAGAAAAATGAAACTAGAGCCTTACCTTGCATAAAACTCAATTGACCTCCAAATGGATGAAGGACTTCAACATAAGACCTGATACCCTGAAACTGCTGGAGGAAAAAGTTAGGAGTCCACTTCACCTTGCAATTTGTCTGTTTTTATTCATGTGTGTGTGTCTGTCTATGTGTCTGTGTATGTATATGCCATGTGTGCCTAGGTGTCTGTGGAGACAAGAAGAAGGTGTAAGCCTGGAGATGAAGTTCAGTTTCCAGGGGCTGGAGAGATGGCTTAGCGGTTAAGAGCACTGACTGCTCTTGCAGAGGACCCGGGTTTGATTCCCAGCACCCACATGGTGGCTATGAACCGTCCTTAACTCCAGTTCCAGGGGAATCTGAAGCCCTCTTCTGACCTCTATGGCATTGCACAACATGGGTGCACTCACATACATGCAGGCAATACATTCATACACATAAAAAAATAATAAAATATTTTTTAAAGTTTCCAGCACCCACATCAAACAGTTCACAACTGCCTGTGACTCCAGGTACGGGTTACCTCCCTACACATTATTGGTCAGAGAGGCCTCAGAGGCCTTTTTGTATCCAAAATAATACAGGCTATTGCCACTGCTCTTGGTTGCCCTCCACAACTAGATGGTAAGCCAGTATTGCTGAAGACACCACACACTTTGGTTGCAGGACACAGAAAAATAGATCTTGAACTGATCAGGAAACTCTGACCAGCTTTCAAAGTCCTGGAATGTGCTATGCAGACTGATGGGGGAGAAAAGGCATCAACAGTCTTGTCTAGAGCTGGGACCCAGCATGTTACAATATCAAATTGTTAGGTAAAATGTGTCCATTGGTGCAATAGTGTCAAGACTGTTTATGGGGTAACCCATTGCTCTCTTGATTAGATTTGAGGCCTGCTCCACAAGAGAGAATTCATGCCTGGTACAGTGAACACGGTTTACAAAACATGGTTAGAGAAGTCATAGAAGTTAGGGGAGAAGCTAGTGATGTTGTTTTCTTAAATGGTCATGTTTCCAATTTTTTTCTAAATATTTGTGTTTATATCCATAGATTTGTGCTGCTCCCAATTTTGGTCAGAGAAGTTTCTTATTGCAGTGAATAGTGCTTAAAAATACACAAAATGCTACGAATAAGTGACTGAGTTCTCAGCAATAGATGTTATGCCTATATCAACCCCTTCCCTCAGGCTCAGGGAACGCTGAGGAAGAGGGGGCAGAAAGAATGTAAGAGCTGGATGATAGGGAGGAGTGCTGTGAAATGCTGTTCACTGGTACAGTAAACATGGTTGTTGCACACATGAACTCACGTAGCTGTGGTTACCACACAAGATCTGCACAAGATCAAACCAGTTAAAAATTCCAGCATGATTGGATAGGGGCTCCCAGGGCCCCATCTTTAGCTGAGAAGCTAATGGCAATTGGTGCCTGCTGGGGAGGAAGAATCACTTTCTTTAGGAGTGTGGCCACTGGAAGGTTGTCCATGCCCCCAGTGGATGACCCTACACCTACATGCATATGGGCAGCACTAATTGGACTCATTGGGATGGATAGATATGGATACATAGGTAGATAGATGATAGATAGATGATGATAGATAGATGATAGATAGATAGATAGATAGATAGATAGATAGATAGATAGATAGATAGATAGATAGATAGATAGATAGATAGATAGATAGATAGATAGATAGATAAGTAATAAAAGGAGGACATGATTTGGGAGGGAGATATGAGGGGAATCCTGGGGGAGTTTGAGTGGGGGAGTAAGGAGTGGGTATATTGTATACATATATGAAATTTTCAAAGAATAAATGAAAAAAATTTAAAAGCTAACAGTAAGGAAATTCCCAAATCATCCAATTAATAAATGAACAGAAGTTCTCAAAAGAAGTACAAATGGCCAATAAATACTCTCTCTCTCTCTCTCTCTTTCTCTCTCTTTCAACATCCTTAATCTTTAAGGAAATGCAAATCAAAACCACATATAGATTTCATGCCCCCCCCCAGTCAGGAATGGATATCATCAGGAAAACAAAAGACAATAAATTCTGGCAAGTATGCAAGGAAAAAGAAGGCTTAGAGTGGCCACTATAGAAATCGGTATAGAGGTTCCACTTAAAAATGGCACTACCATAGGACACAGCTATACTACTCCTGGCTATATAACCAAAAAATTCCAAATAGGCATATCCATACTTCCATATTTATTATGCAACTATTCACAATAACCAAAATATGGAACTGGTCTAGATGTCCATCAACCAATGAATGAGTAAAAAGAACAAACATATAAATCTATGTGTGTGTGTATGTATGTATGTGTATGTGTATAATAGAACTTTATTAAACCATAAATAGGAACAAAATTATGCCATTTTCAAGGAAATAGATAGTAGAGCTCACCTTCCTAAGCAAAATAAGTCAGACTCAAAAAGAAAAATATCAAATATATGGAATCTCTGTCTGTCTGTCTGTGTGTCTGTCTATCTCATGAAAGTAGAAGGGGGACTATCAGAGAGAAAGAGGGGTATGGGGGGGATAAGAGTGTGAGAAAATCATATGGCATACATGTACATGTATGTCATAATAGAACTCACTGTTTATATTTCTCATTGAAAATTGTTTTTGTGGTACTGGGGATTGAATCCAGGGCCTTGCACATGTTAGGCAACCATAAAGTACCTCTGAGCTACCTCCTTAACCTTGTATATTCATTAAAAACAAATTTTAGTGGCAATCTTCAGACAGGACAGAGACTTACTCATCACCTTCATAAGAGAGGCCAGGCTTCTTCTTCTTCCTCTTGCATATTGTTAACATGAACCCTGTCATAAGTATAAAGACGAATATAATAACTGCAGGTACAATCCAGGATCGATTTTCCTCCGGGACAGGTAGGGGGCCTCCAGGAGCTAGAAATGACCACAAGTTTTCAATCAGTAAGAAACTCATTTATGAAAGGTTTATATGTGCTGATGCTTTTATTTGACATCATCTCCCTGGGATTCTAGGGCCAGGGGAGCCTGAAATCAGCAATAGAAAGTTGAACAGTAACAGCCTGAAGTCCTCTGGATACATTCCTCCAGTCACCACCATCTCTAAGTCAGTTTCTGGACCATCTCTCACTTGGGCAATGCAACAGCCTCCTCACGCACCTCTACCTCATTGCTATTTCTACTGAGGTAACCTCACGCTTCCTCAGTTTGACTTTCAACATGCCTCATCTATCAGAAAACTTCTGATATTTCTCCATTCCCTATGGAATCAGATTTCTGGAGAGTAATTCCATCCTTATGTAGGCACTCCCAAATGTCTAAGAAGCTGAAAAACAGGTTCTGTGATAGAAAATTGAGCGGTCACTTTTTAGACATTTGTATGAACAGTTCTCACTCACCCCAAATTATAGGAAAAAGTGGATCAGTTAATCTCCTATTAGTCTAGATAGTAGACATGTTCTCTGTTCCTGGAGCAGCAAGAAAAGTTGTTTGCATGAACTGAATCATATTCAGTACCTTTTGACTATGTCCCCATTTGTCTCGGTTTAGCCTATTTGACATTTTCAGTAAAGGGGAATGCTTTTAGTATGGAAACTTCTGGTTTTTGACCCTCAAAATGGCTCCCAACCTCAGTGTCTAGCATTGAGACACAGATGCAAGCCTGTCTTCCTGAAGCATCTAGAGCTGAACCGTTTCTGAAGAGGGTGGTACCTGGCAGCAGGTGAGAAGCAGAGAGGTACCATGATAAGGGTGTAGAGGTGGTCAGCCCCTGCTCATTTGTAGAGGGGAGAAGGAGCATTTATGGTGATGAAGGTGCTGAGCTTCTGGTACAGTTTAGAGTGGCTTCTGTCTGGCTAAGAGATACTGCAGTGAATAGGCTGGATGGCCTCATCTTTTACTAGACACTCTGTGGCCACTCTCAGGCATAAGTGGAAGAAAATCAGTACAGAAGAGAGGCTGGGCTCAGCTGTTAAACTGGCTTGTGCTTATAGAGACTAGCTCCAGGGATGGTCCTAGGAGCATGTCCGTAGGTCAAATTAAATCTGAGGGAGGCACCAGGAGAATGCACAACAGGACGGATGGATGCTAACAGAAGGTGCAAAACATAGGGTGAAAGCTGAAGAAGAGGCCACAGTGAGCAGAAGGCAGCTGGCTAGGAGGATGGAATGGGGCTTGGAACAAGCAGTGGTGGGGGTCATGTGGATTCAGGGTGCCTTCATTGTAGGAGGAAGGCACAAACATAGGTTAGTTCTCTGTGGGGCAAAGCTGGGTCTTTAAAATACCAGGTTCATACTAATAAGTACCATCAGTGAGTTTCAACTCCTTCTCTCAGTGATGACTCTTGCAGGACATCAAGAACATGCTGTGAGTATGTCAACCTGACTCTGTCTTGGACACACTTCCCGCTCTTCATTAAGCACAGCTGGTTTGCTCTGGTCCTCTTACCTGTTGAGCACATATGCTATCTCGGGATTTTTCTGTGCAGAAAAGCTAGGCAATTTTGAATCTTCCATTAAGAATTCTGTCCCTCTTTTCACCATACTAAGTCCAAAAATCTCTTTTATGGTATGATAAGATCCCAAGGCTTTTAGGAAGACTTACCTCACTTCCAAAGATTTTGCCTGCCTCTGAATACTCATAAAACTATCAATTTGTTTTAAATTTAGTCCCTTGTTCCATGGAATATAATTTAGATTTGAATTCAATCTTCTAAAAATTCAGTTTCATGTATGTGCACATCATGGAGTTCTGATTTACTGGAAGAGCCTCAAGAAGGTATCTTATACCTTTGAGTTTTCAGCCCTATAACCAACAATGTCTAGAATGATTCCATATGCATGATAAGTATTCTAGGCAGCACATGGGCAAACTGCCTAGGTATGTGTTTGCATGGATGTGCTTTATTCAATTGAAGACTTCTTGCCAGGAAGTATCTTGCGTTTTCTGATTAAAACATCGTCCTCCATCAAAGGGTAGCTCCAAAGACAAGGTCAGGTTCAGGACTAAGACCATATTGCAAGTGCAACCCAGGTTCATAGACTCCTGGAATTTGCATCACGCTTATGCAGCAGAAACCTATTTGAATCCTTTCTAACGATCTGCTGGAAGGTTTCCTAGCAAGCAGGAGAGGGACATTGGATGACCAGGCTGAAGCATTTGTATATAGCACCTAGCGAAATAAGTCACCTTGGGAAGCAGCCTTACCTATAGGGAGGGGTTGGGAGAAAATCAGTATCTTCATTGGCTGAGTTTTCAGGACACAGAAGATGGTTGCATTGTTCACACCATCCAGGAATGGTAAAGACAAGCTAATAGAAACAGTGTACAGCTCTGTGACATTGTCTTGAGATATCTGCATGACACTATCATACTCAGTAGTTGAATTCTGAGTCTTTAGCCAAAAATACATCTTCATAGGTTTTGGATAACCTTGTGTAGATGAGCAGGTCAAATTTATGCCAGAATTTCCTGTTGAATTAGAAACCTGCAGGATTTCAGGCTCACTGAAGTTCGCTGGAAACAGAATAGAGGTGAAAACAGTCAGTCTAAATCTAGATCTATTTACGAAGGAACAGTAAATAACTAAATACCTGACCTGGGAGTTCACTGGGGCACGCCTGGCAATCTAAAATATGAGACTCAGCTCATGGTGAGGGCTACACAATGAGCCTATGTTTATCTTTCGAGAATGCTACTTCCTGCTTATCTAAATCAAGAGAGTGCTTTCTGAGAGGCAGGATGGATGAAATTAATTCACCAAGATCTATAGTGAAGCCATTATTCCAAGATGTAGAATTTTTAGGTAAATACCTGCTCTGGCCATAGAGCCCAAGATCCCAAAGAGAAGCATTTCAGCTGGGCATGCCAGGCCAACAGAAGAGAATGGAGTTGAAGTCCTACCAGGCACTCACAAGGACCATGGCATTGGCAAGCTTGGGAAGCTTGGGGTCTTATCTGTATATATATATTATATATATA